CCCCCCCCCAAACGGGAGGCGTAGTGAAGAATAGAGGGGATCCCGGTGATGTTAACTGCTGTAACATTTCTACGCTTTCACCCCCAGGTCTCCGGTATATATACCCCAAGGCCTACACCCCGGCTCCCGTGTCCGTGTGTACGGCCGTGAGCTGCTGCAACTCACCCTTAACGATGCTGTCGGTGACGCTGTCTCTTCTCTCCTTGCGCCCTCTAGTGGTCACCATAACCTCCTCCTCCTCCTCCTCCTCCTCCTCCTCATCAACATCACCCCCCGCCGGAAGCTGCCCCTCCCCGCCCCATGCCTCTTGCTCCGTGCGGACTATACCACTGAAGGGTTTCTCTCCCGCTGTCCTATCCCCTTGTGCCTGATCGTGAGCACTCCTTCGCCCGTAACCTACGTGTACGCTTGTGTTGCGGACAGCAACGGCTCCCGAAGCGGCACTCGTGGAAAAACGCCGAAGATGGCGTTGTTGCGGCGGCAGTTTCTCAGCCACCCCAATCCGGTCGACGCTGCAGATCCTGAAGAGCATTTTGTGGGGATCGAGTGTATGAACAATTTGGCGTGGGTCACGTGTCTCTGGTTTCAAGGCCAAGGAGGTGGAGTGTGCCAGTGTCGCCGTGCCTTCATGTACGTCCGTATCCACAGCCGTAGAATAGATGTAGTAGTCTAGACTAGGCATGGACTACGGCAGTATTTGTGATGTGTACTGCAAATGCCAAATGCTGCAAATTAACGAAAAGAAGGGGTACCTTCGTCTCACACGCTACAAGTCTTGCATTCTCGACGATTTCGAATCGCTGAGAAGGCACACACACGACCAGTGCTATAACAGGTGCTGCGAGATAGAGCGGAAACCAGACGGCAGGGGCCATTGGCGTGCTGATCGTACTCTCAGAGCATGTCAGCTTTGGAGGTATAATACTTGACATTGGCGTGCTTGACACACCTGGTCTCAACGACTGCCGTGGAGGCCCACCGTGCTAAGCTCTTCGACAGAGCCGTACCCTCGCGCAATCTCATAGGAAACATCCGTGCCGCTGGTGTTGCCTTTTCTCCCTGATGCTCGTGGTTGCTGTGGTGTCACCTTTACCCGAGACAAATGGGACATCAACAGACAGCAGACGCTGCTCGCTTGTTCCCTGGTATTTTGGGCGCTTGACCCTTCACGAACACACCAAATATTGCAAAAACAAGAATTGGACAGAGTATTTGATCGCGCGGAACAAGGTTGCACACCCTTTTTCTGCCCTTGACCTTGGTATCTGAGCGTATCTGAGCGCTGAGGGGGCTACCGCTGTAGCTGCGGTGCCGGTTCACAACAGCGCTGGGTTGAGATGTCACAACAGGCTGCACGTATGGCCACAACATGTCACCCCGCCGGTATACCCCCCCCGCTCTTCGGAGACAGCGCTGTCCCGGTGCCCCCGTTGGAGCCCGCTGCCCGGTCCCTGCTGATGCTGTACAGCACTGCTACCTCTCAGCTCTGCCCCGCCCTCTCCCTATGCTATCTCCCTTGCTTGATGACAACGACGACGGTGTGCATGCATCTGAGAGTGAAGGGAGAAGGCGGGGGTGAATGGATCAGAGCTGTCGAAGGCAGGCTGAAGGGGACTGGAAGCTGCCGCTCTCAACAAGCGGCACAGCTTGGTGTGTGATTTGAAATTTGTATCCGTTGCCTCCAATTCCCCAACCAATTCATTTTTGAAAGGGCAGCAGCGTCGCAAAGGCTTGGTGCGGGCCACTCCCTACCCTTGGTTTGCAAAGGGCGGGGGTGCTTCACATCCGTGCTGACAATCGTCGGGAGCCCGGACTACTGTTGACGCACCAAGCGGAGAGTAAAATCATGGCGTCTGCGGAGAACTTGAAGCAAAGGGTTGCAACGGAGTCGGCCGGGTGCTTCGAAACTACCTGCGCGCGCCGGTTGTGCAAGATCTCCACGTTAGATTTTGGCCACGCGGTGGAAATGGCCGTCGTGGCCACCGGCCTCATCGCTGCAACCCAGGTGCGTGGCGGGCTGTGCCAACCGGCTGCGGCTGGCTTTGTTCGTGTTCCCCATTCCGTTGGCTGCTGGCTGCTCTCTCAAACTGGCTTCCTTTCCTACTGGCCCGTTTTATCATAATGCTTCTTGGTGCCGTCGTTCGTCACTGGCTTCCTTTCATGTGAGGGCCCCAACCGGGATCAGCGCAAGCGACGACTGAGACGATTGATAAAGTTACTCTCGACTTTCCCACTTTTTCAACAAGCTTACATGCCAGGTATGAGCAGGGGACGTTCAACTCATGAGTCACCCACGAGAAGGACACGTGTATGCTTGCGGCCGATGTGAGGAAACATTTTGTTTTCGTCAGTGTGCGCGGTTTGTGTTGCACCTACAACAGCAAAACAGCAATCGGCGCGTGCCTGTCGTTCCTTTCCCGCGCGCATGTTTCCTTCATGACTAGAATACAAGTACATTAGGTACTCCTTATCGTCGTACCTTGTTGTTTGCTGCTTGCTGCTCCTATATTTGATTCGCCAACCGTGTTCAGTTGTAGTCTACCTCTCGAGATGCCTCCGTGGATACGTACAACCTATCGCACACGGAGGGCGTGAGTTTGGTTTCCCCGACCTCTGCTCAGCAGCAGTGCGCCTTCTTGCCAGTTGACTACCCGTTGACTAACCTGCTGCAAGAACTGAGAAATGAGGAATTGAATTCTCGCCCGACCCCCTTCCGGTGACGGTTTCGCCAATTTTATGTTTTTTGAGGAACAAAGATAGCCTATTATATAGTAACTTTCTTGTGCGCTAGCAAGACAAATTATATTGTGTAGTTCTATGTGCCTTCCTCCTTGGTTTGGTCCCGGCTGATGTGTTAAATGCACCGCCGTGCCCAAAGGTTTAGGCTGGCACATGATTAGACTGGGGGAAGAACGCACAACAAACGACTCATTCCTTCCCCTACCGATCAACCAATGACTGGGCGGAGGCGGTAGCTGGCATGTGAGCCTCTCTACGAAACCTCTTTGGTACAAGAGGTTGCGGTGAACTGCACATGGCAAATTGCTGGCAAAGAACAAGGTTTGAGAATGGTGCAAATCGTATCAATGGGTCACCCCCCCGCTCCAGCCACCTTCGGCAAAGTGCCTTAGGAAGGACCGATTTGGCCATCGGTGATCGGTACAACAATGCTCCGTCCGTCCTCTCGAGGACGCGGGATCAATGGTCTAGCAGCAAAGGCAAGCAAAAACATCAATATGCCCCCCCCCCCGCCCCCGCTCGACCGCCCGCCCGCAATCCGACCTGCTGACCCACCTTCTCTAAACCACGCACCTCAACACGTCCGTTGCTTGCAGCTACGAAAGTGGCAACGGCGGCAACAGCGGCCATTCGCCAGTAGCACAGTCTCGGCGGACCCGAGACCAGACCACTTCAGTCGCTACCGCTACTGCTGTCAAGTCACTCTGCACTGGCTCAAGGGCGTGGTGTGGACGTCGGCATACGGTGAGCTTGCTTGCTTTTCTGCGTCCGCTTAGTTTCCTCGTGCGTGCGGTCTTGGAATGCCGGTCAACGGCTCCTTTGTGAACGCTTGTTGCGCCCCGGTTTCAAATTCGTGCCGCTGCTCTGTGTGCTGCGTTGCTGATGCCGCACCCGTGTCTGCTCCCGGCCTGGCCGTTTTCTCTCGTGCTGCTGCTTAACGGTCGTCTGGCTTTGCTATCGCCGGACGCTAGCGCACGGCGGTCTAATCATCGTACGCGTAGGCCGTTGGGCGCTGCTGCTACTGCTCGCTTGGTCGTCCTCGACACGGGCACCAGGGGAGACGAGGAAGCTGACGCCTGAGGGGTCTTGTTGGCCTTTGGGCAGGGGAGGGGGAGAGGGAGATCGATGGGCTGCTGTGATGACGAGCGATGACAGCCTAGCCGTGACGCTTGCTGTGGCGCTTGCTGCGGCTGCGGTTTGCTACACCCTGACCGGGGCTTCGTCCGTGCGGCAGCTTCTTCGGCATCGCTTGGTGCGCGTTGGTTCCCCCCCTTGAAAGCCTAAAGAAAAGACGCTCATGGTAGTTTCCACCTTCTGCTTGGTGTTAATCTATTACGAAGAAGAGTCGAAGTGTCCCGCCAAACCTCGGCCTGGTTGAAAAATCACGGATCCAGCTTTACAATGGTTGAGTTTTGAGTGTATAGCCGCGGCCCTGTGGTTAAACTCAAAATATTTTGGCCAAGACATGTGCGAGAAGATATTTTCCTCTCTGTACATGGTCCACGGGCTCAGGGATCACGTGCCCCCGTCCGTATTGGGGATTGGATTCCAAAGAACCGCGGTAGAATGTGAAAGGAGGTTAGCCGAGGGCGTTTTCAAAAAGAGTTTGAACAGCAGTGCTGTTCAGGAGCAGAACAAGAGCGCTATCGCAAGGAACCTTCACCCAGGACCCCGCTTGCGCCCCCCCCCCCAACCCAACCCTTTCAGCTTCGCATTCCCTTGGGCTTGGCGGCGGAGCTCCTGAGAGCTAGCTGCGTCGCCGCCTCGTCGGATATAGCGCTGGCGCTAGTATCTTGGGGGTTTTCGGTTTCGTCACCGTCGCTGGCTTTCCCGTACAAGGAGGGGCGGCAGGCGGCGGCCGCAGCGGAAGGGACCCGCGCCTTTGCCGTGACGTTGGTCCTGGGATTCCTGGGAGCTCTAGCCTGCGCGTTCGCGGGAGCGGCGGTGTCGTGCGTCGGTGGGAGCGTCGGCGGTAAGGGCGGCGGGGAAGAAGGGCGGAGGGGATGGCTAGAACGCCCCGCGCCCTCCGCGACAAATGTGGCGGCGCCTACGACGGAGGGCGGTAGTCGTTCTCGTACGGGCACAAGTCCCGCCGCAAATGCTGCCGGAAGGGAGGCTGGTTCGGGAAGGCGCGAGGGGGAGTCGCAGCGGGCGACGGCGACGGCCGCGTGGCTTGTGCCTAGCGGAGCGCTGGGAGGGGTTTTCTACGCGCTGACCTCAGGGGGCGTGTTTCGAGGCGTCATGCGGGAGTACTTGCTGGGTGAGCGGTGTTTTGGCTGTTTCGAGTCGCGCTTACACATGTACCGCATTTTTGGGTGATCCGCAAAGTGCGGGGTCGGGTAGATACCGTCGGTTCGCGTTCTCCCCCGTAGGACGTTCGATTGTGATTGGCCCGTCTCATCCATTTGAAACCCCTGCGATCAAGATTGTGGACGAGAGATTGCCCGGATATCTGGCTGAGCCAGGCTGAGATTCGCACAAAATTGTTTCATCCCCTATGCTCTTTCGCTCTCACCCCTTAAACTCCCAAATGAACAGCTGAGTGGTTTTCATCCCCGGATTCGGTCCGTATGACGCTGGCGATGGTGTTTGCGGCGGTTTACTTGCTGCGCTCGTTGCCTGCGGAAAGGGCTGGAGGGTTTAACCCCCTCTCACCGTGCTACGCCCTCCTCGGGTTTTTCAGGGGCGAGGCGTGTTTGAATCAGGTTGGTGACCTGCGGCTTCACGTTTTTTTTTTTTTCCCATGGGCGGACTGGTCTCCTGCCCCGCCTGGTCTGTAACGGCTCCCACCTTGTTCGCACGGCATTGCTCTCGTGGCCTCCATACCGTTCGTGTCGTCGAGTAGTAGCCTTGGTGAACGCGCGCGTGCTTCCTGGTCGTTGCCCCGAGCGGTGTAAGTGATGCAGTAGTGACCTCCTCATCGTGGGGCATGCCTGCTGTGCGGCAGCTGCGTTGGTGGTTTTGGTGCACTCCCTCCACCTTACTGTGGTGAGCGTTAACATCGCCCGTCTATTGGTTGCCGTCTCACGAGTAGTAGTATGAGAGACGAGTCGAGTCCTCGAGGAGGAAAGCTCGAACGCTTATGATGTAGAGCTTGTCTCTCGGCATGAGCTGTTCTCGGACGTTTTATGGCTTTCCGCCCGGTATCAGGGCCTCAGTTTGGCCAACAAGGATGATGATGAAGGAAACGGTAGTCTTGCACAACTCCGAGTTACATCCTTTCGCGAAGTATCTTTGACTAACCCTTTGGGGGGGAGCGCTGTATGCGTACAATGTACCCGCAGAGCGTCTTTTCTTGATCATGGCTAGCGTTTTCCTCGCCGCGCTACCGTGCAGCATCACACCTACGCCAACGATCTGGCCGCTTGTTGGGAGGCTGGTCTCGCAGCCTTCAAGAGGTGGAGAGGACGGGGGAGCGAGGCGCCGACACCCGCGACAAGCTTGACCGGCGCCCAACAGCAGCAGCAGCAACGGAGACGGAGGCAGCAGCAAGAGATGCTCTTCGACCTGGCCAGGGCGAGGCGTAGGAGCAGCGGGGCGTCAGCAGCGACCGCCGCTGCTGCCGGCGTTCTCAGCCCGGGAAGGGTCGTGCCGCTGGAGCTCGCTCCCTCCAGCAGCAGCGAGGAGAAGATGGCCTGGTGGAAGGAACCGGGAGAAGAGGGCGACGTCCCGGCCCCGCTTGTCGCGAGGCCCGCTGGGGGCAAGGAGTGCTCGCCGAGCCGGCGGCTCCCATCGCCGGCTGCTGTTGCTGCTGCTGCTTCCGGCGCCGCCTCCGCCGCCGCCGTGCCTCCCTCTTCCTCTTCGAGCTCAAGCGACCGCGGCGTGCCGAGGCCGGAGTCTTTCCCCGGTGGCGCGCTATCCGATGACAGGGAAACAGGTGGAAGCGGTCGGGATAGCGAACGTTTCGGTGGCATGGAAGGTACCGCCTCCGGCGTTGCCTCCGGCACTGCCCCCACCGCCGCCGATGCGAATAATGGCAATAGTTGGAGTTTGCTCCGGCGTAACAGGCCACGCGAAGGGTCAGGAGCCGCTCCCCCTTTCGGGACGGGCATGGGCCAGGGACGAGCGACGTCGATGCCTTCCTCGACCGATGCCCGAGGAGGAACAAGACCCGAGCACGGACGCCTGTCCCACGGAAGCGCGTCGATCGAAAGCAGCAGCAGCAGCAGCAGCAGCAGCAGCACGTCGATCGGAGAAGACCGCCAAGGCCGGCCGGGGTCAGTCGGACCCCGAAACGGCAGAGATGACGCCGCGTCACCAGCAACAGGTGCGGGCTCGGAAGGGAGGGTCAGCGGAGCTGGTGGTGGTGCGTCCGGGCGGGCGAGGACGGCAAGAGATGTGCTGCGATTGCTATCGGAGGCGATGGTGGCGGAGCGGTCGTTGTGGTGGCTGGAGACCTGGGCGTTACCGTTGGCGGTGGTTGCGTTTCTGGTCCGACAGGTGAGCGCGGTCTGTCGGTCGGTGCCGCCGCTTCGCCGGCCGGCGCCGGCAATAGTTTTGCGCTGCTGTCGGTTCCACCTGCGGCTCATGTGCATGCAGCGGTGTTTGGGCACTTGGTTCGCTTTTTGGGGAAATAGACAACCACAGAAAGATTACTACTGTACCCGTTCGAGATAAGATCACAGTCGAAGGGGATGTTTCTGTGTGCTGTGAGTGGGAGAAGGAGCCTACTTGTTTTGAGTTTAGTTGAGCCTTCCTCCACCTTTGTTTGTGATCGATACTCTCTCTGCTGCCTCTGTTTTTTACCGGTACTTCGTCTCTTGGGTGCTATTTAGCAAGGGCGTGAAACATCCCATGAGCGACATACGTGCGGTGTTTTTCTTTTCTCTCTTCCAGAGTCCTGGCTGGCGTTGAGCTATTGGCAGCCTAGACTTTCCCCCTGCCTCAAACTGCAATATTTACCTCTTGGCTCTTTTCGAAAGACATCTTCACGCCGCCGTTGTCGTTCCGAGCGGAAAATTTGGTATAGCATTCCGAGGCCCTCTATTGGGCGGGTACATATGTGCCAGGTGCTTTCACCCGCACGATGGCGGGCATCTGCACTGTGTTGACTATCCTGACTTCCCCATCTGTGCCATGTGCCAGCCATTTTCACCCTCACAATACCGGGAAAGCGCACTATGGGGGTGACCCGACTGCAGGATTATTTTATCTCAAAAGCCTGGGCCCTTCCTGTCCCTTTCTCAAGGTGGTCTTGGAGAGCAACCGGGCGTTCTGGGTCACCAAGGTTCTGGGGGCGTGGGGTTCTCACGGGCGGCAGGCGTTTCTCCTCTCGTTCCGTTTCGGCCCGGAAGCGGGGGCGTTTGCCGCGGCGGTGGTGTCGGCGGCGAGGGTGCGGCATCTTGCGGAAATGGTGAGGCGTTTCGCGAGCAAAATGAACTTCACGCTTCTAGGGTCTCGATACAGCAGTATCGGTACAGACCGTCGCCCTGGTATTGTTGGGTTATCACCCGCGTTTGTGCATCTGAAGCCGGCTAGCCTGGTTGGCACCGCGGCAGCAGTGGCACGCGGCCGCCCCCGTTCTTTCCGGGCATCCTGGCCTGGCATCTCCGCGCTCATCGAAAGTCGTCGTCGATTTTTGTCATGGCACCCAGAAAGGCATGGACGAAAAAGAGAAAGACACTTGTCAAGCTGGATGGTTTCGTTCCGATCCAGTTTTTTTCTGGGCCGCCACCTCATCACCTGGAACCCCCCCCTCGCAGAGAAGGCCGGCATACCCGTTGCCGGGTGTTGCTCTGGGATCCTTGCTGACCTGCCTCGGGGCGTTCGGTGGCAACGTTCTGGCCTGCCTGGTCACCGGAACGCGTAGCATGGTGCTCACGGAGTTTGTTGTCTGGCCGGCGGCGGTTGCGGCGTGGATGCTTGTCGGAGGGAGGTGCGTGCCGTCGAGAGGCCTCCTTTGTAGTTGTCACCACTGCTGTGTTTTGCCGTGTGCTGTTGGCTTGGCTTCGTTTTTTGGATGTTTGCTGCTTGTTCGAAAGCCCCTTCACCCGTCTCGTCATCTAGCCCAATTTACTGCTTCCACGGATGTTATAAAATTCCCAAGACCAGAACGGATTCAAATGTGAAGACAATCACAACCCTCGCGGGTGTGCAACTCAAACCGCAATCCTGTTCGTCTCAAGGCTCTGGGCTCCTAGGCCAGGCCGAGCGTTCTCGCTCCGCGACCTCCTGTCCCTACCTGTGGTCCATCACTTGCTGGTTTTTCTCTCGGAAGCATTTCGCGCGTCCCTCTTGTGTGGTGCCATCGACGTCGCCCGGACTGTTGCCCCCCTGGTGGCTCCGGAGACCGCGCCCTGTAAGTTGGAGCTCTGGTTCATGTCGGCTCGCGCGTTGAAGTGTATGCCTAGTGAGGCTCATGCGTACTGTGTTGCTTGTCTTGCTGCCAGCCTTGTTTCGCGCGGCGGTTGTTTTAAGATTTCTTGTCGTCGGATTGATATGTTTTTTTTGTTCCAAAGCTTTGTCGGGAAGCATTTTGGTCTCCGCTTGTAGTAATGAATCTTGTGCAACGAACTAGCACGTGACAAATCGGGACCAGGACTGCGGCACCAACAGCGCCTTACGTATACAAATATTTTATCGGCCACTGGACTTTTTTTTTGCTGAGTGTCACGCGCGGTCTCCGGCACAATCTGCTTGTAGGAAGAAAACTCCCAACTGTTCGTACCGCGTGCCTTTTCGCGCTGTCAGCGTTTCCTACGCGCTCGGCGTTTGGCTTTGTTCATCCCCTCGTTCTGGTCCCTCCCTCGCTGTTTTTTGTGGATGTGTGGATGTTCTTCAGCGGAAGGCTGGACGCTGGTTTTCCTGGCTGGCGTGTTGGCGGCGTGCGGCGGTGTTTTTCTCCCGGGCGACCGCGGCCTGTCTGCCCTGTCCGCCGGCGTTCCGTGGTCCGTGCAGAGCGCTCTCTATGGCACAGACTTCTACTGTTACTGCTGTTTGAGTGGAGGATTTGCAGGTGCAGTAGGGCTGAAGTGGTAGTTCGTTAGCTGTGACCATGGGGGAGGTATGTAGGTCTTGTTTGGAGCCGAACGAACGCGTCGACGGTGTTCAGGATTCCTGTGTTGGCGATCATTTCCACACGGCCGTTTATGATGCCCCCCGGTTTCACGGCTGTGGCATTCTGCTTGTAATGCCTGCCTCACGCGGCATAATAAAGAGTTGTTTTAATGCAGAGCACGTCTGTATGCTCCGTGTCCCGTCGGCTTTGAGCAGCTATTTTCGCCGCCGCTGCAAACCCCTCGGTCCAAGCCGACGCACCAGTTCCTGTGCTTCCGCTGTCCGTTTTTCGAAACAGCAGCAGTACGTCGCCGTAAAATACCTCGATCCTGGTTGTAATGTATGCATATAACCTAATCGAACCGAAAGTGCCGTGATACTGCCCCCCCCCCTCCCGCGCAGGCCATGCTCGAGCGATGGTGTCGCTATTCTTCGTGTCGGTGGCGCTAGTGCAGACCTCGCGGCGCGGAGGCGGGCCGCACTTCAACCCTTACTCCCTGTTGCACCGCGTCGCCTATGCTGTCCTCGGTCTGGACAAGCCGCCGCCGGCGGGACTTCCTAGAGAGTTCGATGCGCGGGATATCGGAGGTGGACGTCGTGTTGTGGAGCAAGCGGGCGGAACGGGAACGGCAGACGGAAGCTGGAATGCCACCGCCGCCGCTGCTGGTGCCTGGTTTGCCGCTGGTTCAGGCATGTCGGCGAGCCGCCGGAGTGACGACTCCCACCGACTAAGCAGTAATGTCCCCAGTCGAAGAGGCCGAGATAGGGGAAGCCGGGGTTCGTTGGCCCGTGGCCTCGGCTCCGGGAGACCAGCGCGGGGCCGATCCGCGACGGTGACAACCGGGCGAGGGTGCTTCGCGCGAGGCGTGGTCGGGGTGTGGGGCCCCGGCAGGGTGGGCGCGCGGGGGGTGGGTAGGACGCTCGTGTGGACCGCGGCGGCGGTAGCGGTGGTCGTGATGAGCAGGTGCGTCGTCGTGGTAGTTGACCACTGCTGTTCAAGGGTCTACCATTTGGTGCTGCTATGTTTTGTTTGGCGGACCGGGGCCAGCGGGTTTGAAAGCCTCTGCGGTGTTGTGTCATTGTCGACGTTCCAAAGGGGCTACTCGTGTGAATGCTTGGAATCTTTGAAGAGTTCTTCATCGTGTGCAGTTTTTTTTTTTTTTTGCCTTGTTTTGTCGAAACCCTTACGCCATTTTCGCACCTACCGTTCCTTTTTCGTTGCTTGGCGTGTGAAAGGCTGCTTGCTCTCTCAACCCTTGCCATGGATCGGACTCAGTCGGCATCGCACGACCACCGACAACATGAGCACCAGGAGCAGCCGTGGAGGCAGCCGTCAACAGCGGGAATGCCGTTCGAAGGCGGCGGCGGTGGCACTCCCGAAAAGTTCCCCGATTCCGTGGTCGGAGGCGTTGATGGTGCAGTCGGCGATGCTCCTGCTGGTGCTGGTGCTGGTGCAGCTGAGGCGCGAAAGGGTGGCATCCGGGGCTGGTATGAACGGTTCCGGAGCGGAGCGAAGGGCAGCGGTGATACCTCTGGACGCCCGCCGTCGCCGCCGGTGCGTGCCGAGGTGGAGGCGGGGGCCGAAGACCTTGCCGACATGGATCCCGCCCAGCTGATCGAGCAGGTGATGGCGGCGCGCAAGGCTGCCGTCGAGGCCGCGGACCGCGCCGACGCCGCGGAACTCGCGGCGGCGCAGCTCGCAATCGCATCCGAAGAGCGGACCGGTACTTCGCCGGGCGCCGCCGCCGCTGGCGGAATTGGAGTAGGGATCGACAGGAGCGGGGCTGGGCTTTCGCGGCGCTCCGAGGGCAGGGAAGAAGAAAACGAGCGGGAACGGGAAGGGCTGGGGGCAGAGTCAGTGGACAATTCGGCGGCGGCGACGGCGACGGCGAAGCAGTCGAAGGCGCTTCTCGGCGCCGCGGTGGAAGACTACTCGTCGGTCGTGGGAGAGTTCTCGGAAGTTTCCAAGGCTTGGCTGGAAGAGGTGAGAGCTGTTTTGCACCTGTTGGCTCTGGTGGTGTCGTTCTTGTTTTGAATTGCTGTTGCTTTTTCCCTAGAGGCAGTGAACCACGAACGCCATTATGTGATGTTGCATCAAGTGGTTTCGCGTGGTTGCGCCTAGAGTGCACTTGGTTGGTTTCAAGGCGAGCGGGTGAAGGGGTGCCGTCATAACACGCCTCCTCCCCTTTTGTCTCTGTACCTCGCGATCCGACAACCCACTCTGTCAGATGGCCGTCGCGAACCCAACAGAAGGCACGGGCGATGACGTCAAGGTTAACCGGCAAGCAGGGGAAGACGTTCCTTTCCAAGAGGCGAAACATCCGCACGCGCCTATCCAAGCACTACACAGGCAGCCGCCCCACGAGCCCCCTCCGGATCGCACACCACTAGACGGTGACAATCTCGGAAAGGAAGCGACTCGAATATCGCCCTCGCCGTCGTCGACTGCCACCTACGAGCGTCCGCCCGGTCTCGCTGGTTCGTCGGCCCTCGATGACACAAGCCCAGATGGAACCGGCGAGGACGCTTCCGGATCCGAGGCGGGGGCTCTTGAACCTGCTGTCCCCGCGGCGACGGCGGCGGCGGCGGGGACGGCTGTGTTGGTTTCCCCCGGCCCCTGGTTTCAGTGGCTCTTCGGCCGACCGGCTGATGTTGACGAGGGCCCCGTGACAAATCTCGCACCAGGGGGGGGTGACACCGCTCTTGTTCGTCCGGGTCTTCCAGAGGATATGGTCGATGTGGGTGATACTCTGAACGCCGCAGCGCTCGAGCAGGCGGTACCGACCCTGTTGAGTTTGCCGGAGAATGTGTTGTCGGCCCCCGAGAGCCTGACGAGTGGCCGCGCCAAAGACGGTCCCAACGGAAATAATGCTCCTGGCGACGGTGGCGGTGGCGGTGGTGGTGGTGGTGGGACTAGCACGGGACGGTCGGATGAAGATGCCCCTGCCGAGAATGTTGGTGGCGACGCTGTCTCGACTAGTGAGGCCGGCGATGTGGGTGATCCGGATGCTGTCGCCGGTGACGGGGGCGCCGGTCTACACGTGAGCGACCCGGATGGCTACGAAAACGATGTAGGTGGCTCGGACGATAGCACCAGCGTTGAGGCCGTGACCGCTCTTCTGGAGGAAGGAGGCATGGCCGATCTGCCAGGGCGAGGCATGGTACCCCCAGAGGACAGCTCTCACATGGAGGAAGGTTCGGGTGGGGGATACGAGACTTCGAGTGGTGAAGGCATTGGAGCCGAGGATGTGTCGACGATCACCGATGATGACGTTTTTGCTGATGTTGGTAGTGAGGGCGACGTTGTCCTGGGCGATGATCCCGAGTTCGAAGCGGGCGGCGTCTTGAGTCTGGAGACTGGTTTTGCCGGGGGAGGCGACGATGCTGCTAGTGTGTCTCCCGGTGTTGAGGCTAACGGCGAAAACGACATGGCTATGCCGACTGCCGGGGTCGGTGCTTTTGAGGATGGGCGAGGTGGCGTCGAAGACTCCGGTTCAGTTGATGATGCTGTCACCGGTGCGGCTGAGGGCGGAGATGACGATTCGGCTTGGTCGATCGGCGACGATGAGGCGTGGGTTGTTCCGACAGCGGACGACGATGCTGGTGATCCAGCAGGGCATTCGAGTCCGCACCGCTCTTGGCTTCCGTGGCGCCGTCACCGGCCGGCTGACGTCGACAAGGACCCCTTGACAAATCTCGAACCAACGAGGGATGGCGATGATCTTGCTGGTCCGGTTGTTCAAGAGGATGTGGTCGTCATGGGTGATGATGACGATGCGTCGCTCGAGCAGACGGTATCGAACCCGCCGAGTTTGCCGGAGAGTGGGTTGTTGGCCTCCGAGGGCTTCAAGAGTGGAGATGGCGAAGACAACCCGGATGGAACTAATGCTCCCGATAGTGGTGGTAGTGGTGATGGTGATTGCGGTGGTGGCAGGATTAGCACGACAGGGTTGGAAGAAGAAGTCGCCGCTCAGCTCGGGGAAGGAGGTGCTAGCGACGTCGCCGATCCGCCAGGGCGAGACGGGATACTTCCAGAGGAAATTTCTTACATGAAGGAAGGTTCTGGTGAGGGAGACGAGACTCGGAAAGATCAAGAGGTTGTGGTGATGACCACCACCGATGAAGACGATGTTGCTGACGGCAGTGGGGGTGACTTTGTCCTTGGAGATGACCCCGAGGGCGGGCCAGGCGGCGTCACTAGTATGAAGGCAGGTTTGGCCGAGGGGGGCGACGGTGCTTCTGGTGTTTCTCCTCCTGTTGGGACCAACGACGACGGCCCTGCGACATCTGGTAGCAATGATGATACGGCTTTATCGACTGCCGAGGTTGTCGATTTGGCTGATGAGCACGATGCCACAAGTGATTCCGGTTCCAACGACGATACTATCGCCGTCTTGGCCACCGGTGGCGAGGCTTCGGCTGTCCCTACCGGCGACGATGAGGCATCGGGTGTTCAGACAGCGGACAACGATGCTGGTGCTGACGAGGTTGAGAATCGCCCCCGCCGTTCTTGGCTTCCGTGGCGCCGTCACCAGCCGGCTGACGTCGACAAGGACCCCTTGGCAAACCTTGCACCGGCGGGGGATGCGGCCGCTCTTGCTGGTCTGGATCTTCCAGAGGACATGGTTGACGTGGGGGACGATGACGATGCATCGCTCGAGCAGCCGGTACAATCTTTACCGGAGAGCGTGTTGTTGCCCCCCGAAAACATAATGAGTGGCCGTGGCGAAGACCGTCCTGACGGAACCGATGGAGCCGATGCTGCCGACGACGGTGGTGGTAGTGGCGGTGTCGATGGCGACGCTGTCCCAACTGGTGAGGCCGGCGACGTCAATGATGATACCGATGGGGAAGGCGAGACTCAGAAGGATGAAGGTGTTGGAGCCGCGGATGTGACGATGACCGCCGATGATGACGGCTTTGCTGATGTTGGCAGTGGGGGCGACGTTATCCCGGGCGATGACCCCGAGGGCGGGGCAGGCAGCGTCACGAGCGTGGGGGCTGGCATGACCGGGGGTGACGACTATGCTTCAAGTGTGCCTCCCGCTGTTGAGACCAACGACGACGGTTCTTTGTCCGTTGGCGATGAGTCGACTTCTGGGGTCGGCGCTTTGGTTGATGGGCACGATGCCACCGCTGATGCCGGTTCGAATGACGGCGCTGTTGGAGTCTCGGTTACCGACGGTGAGGCTTCGACTATCTCTGCCGGCGACGATGAGGCGTCGGCTGCTCTGGCAACGGACGGTGATGCTGGTGCTGACGAGGGTGAGACTCGTCCCCGCCGGTCTTGGCTTCCGTGGCGCCGTCACCGGCCGGCTGACGTCGACGAGGACCCCTTGACAAGCCTTGCACTGGCGGGTGATGCGACCGCTCTTGCTGGTCCGGATCTTCCAGAGGGGGAGGTTGACGTGGGTGATGATGACGATGCTGCGGAATCGGCCCCATTGAGGTCGCCGGAGAAGGTGGTCTCGGCCTCCGAGAGCATCACGAGCGGCCGTGGCGAAGACATCCCTGACGGAACCGGTGGAGCCGATGCTCCCGACGACGGTGGTGATAGTGGCGGTGTCGATGGCGACGCTGTCCCAACTGGTGAGGCCGGCGATATCAGTGGTGGAGATGCGCCTGACGCTATCATCCGTGACGTCGACACGGGCCTACGTGCGAGCGACGGAGGCGGCAGCGTTGGAATCGGCATGGATGGCTTTGGCGAGGGCAGTAGCGTGGAGGCCGAGGCCATTGAGGCCGCTGCCACTCGTCTCGGGGAAGCAGGTATTAGCGATCCGCCAGGGCATGACGGTGCCCTCTGCGAGGAAAGTTCTCACATGACGGAAGGTATTGATGGGGGAGACGAGGCTGAGGGCGATGAAGGCGTCGAGGCCGGGGATATGGCGACCTCCGATGAGGACGGTTTCGCTGATGTTGGCAATGAGGGCGACGTTGTCCTTGGCGATGACCCAGAGGGCAGGGCCGGCAGCGTCACGAGCGTGGGGGATGGTTTGGCTGGGGCTGGCGACGATGCCTCTATCGTGTCGCCCGCTGTTGAGACCAACGCCGACGGTCCTTCGGTTTCTGGCGGTGTGTCGGCTGCAGGGGTCGGCACTCTGGTTGATGGGCGAGATGACGCTGCCGATTCCGGTTCAGCCGATGCTGCTTTAGCTGTTGCGGCGGAGGGCGGCGAGGCTTTGGCTGTCGCTGCCGGCGACGATGAGGCGTCGGGTGTTTCGTCAACGGAGGGCGGTGCTGGTGTTGATGAGGGTGAGACGCGTCCCCGTCGGTCTTGGCTTCCGTGGCGCCGTCACCGGCCGGCTGATGTCGACGAGGACCCCGTGACAAGCTTCGCGCCGGCGGGGGATGACGCTGCTCTGGCTGGTCTGGATCTTCCAGATGATGTGATCGATATGGGCGATGATCTTACCGCCGCAGCGCTCGAGCAGGTGGTGTCGACTCCGTCTAGTTTGCCAGAGAGTGTTTTGCTGGCCTCCGAGAGCGCTATGAACGGTGAAGATGTCTCGGCTGGTGAGGCCGGCGACGTCAGCGATGGACATGATCGGGATGCTGGTGACCCTGTCACCGGCGACCTTGACCTAGGTCCACATGTGAGCGGTGGTGGTGGTGGCTTTGGAAACGGTGTAGATGGCTTGGGCGAGCACCGTCGTCACCGCTAATCCACCTGTGTTACACCCATGGGGAGATGGGCCCTTTTCTTTATCATGACAACGAGAACGACAGCAGAGCAGTGCCCGCTTTAATTTTGTTTTTTTGTATGGCGTTATAGTTTTTTTTGAAGGTGAGGAGTATCGGTGCTGATTCATTGGCGTGGGACTGAGTACCAATATTCAGAGGGGTTCCGGACAATCGTCGAGGTGTACCCGTTCTCTAATATGGTACAGTTGTTTTTCATTTTTCTACGGGGTGCGACGCAGGCGAATCTCGAGGGAGGGGGGCGTACAAACGATGTGGCCGATCCGCCAGGACAAGACGGTACCCTCTCCGACGAAAGCTCTCACATGGAGGAAGGTTTGGCCGATAATGCTATCATATCTGGTGCGGCTGGAGACGGCGAGGCTTCGGTTTTGTCCATCAGCGACGATGAGGTATCGGATGTTTCGTCAACGGACGGCGATGCTGGAATTGATGAGGGTGAGACGCGTCCCCGCCGGTCTTGGCTTCCGTGGCACCGTTTCCGGCCGGCTGATGTCGACGAGGACCCCGTGACAAACCTGACACCAGCCGGAGATAACACTGCCCTGGCTGGTTCGCATCTTCCGGAGGATGTGGTGGACGTGGGTGATGATCTGACCGCCGCAGCGCACGAACAGGTAGTGTTGAGTTTATCGGAGAGTGAGTTGTTGGCCTCCGAGAGCATCACAGACGGCGGTGAAGACGTCTGCGATGGTGAGGCCAGCGACGTCAACGATGGAGATGGTCCGGACGCTGTCACCGGTGACACTGGCCCAGGTTTACATGTGAGCGACGGTGGTGGTGGCGTTGTAAACGGTCTAGATGGCTTGGGCGAGAGTACCACTGTTGAGCCACTCGGCGCTATTCCGCCTCATTTCTTTTTCATGACAACGAGAGAGACTGCAAGGCGGTGCCCACTTTAACGTTGCTTTTTTGTATGGCGTTTCAAGGTTGTTTTACACCTAGGAGTGTCAGCGATAACTCAACAGCGGTAAGCTGGAATGGGCTGGGAAGCAATATTCACTATTATAGGGTTCCCGGTAATCGTCGAGGTATCCGTTCCCAGTGTAACGAGTTTGTTGTTTCTTCCCCGGGGGTTAACACAGGTGAATCTGGAGGAAAGGCGTATTGGCGATATGGCCGATCTGCCAGGGCAAGACGCGGTACTCCCCGAGGAAAATTTTCACAAAGGGGAAGGTTCTGCTGGGGGAGACGGGGCTTGGGGCGGCGAAGACGCCCAAGACGGGGATTTGGCGACGATCACCGATGAGGATTTTTTTGCCGATGTCAGCAACGAGGGCGACGTTGTCCTGAGCGATGACCCAGAGGGCGGGGCAGGCAGCGTCTCGAGTGTGGGGGTTGGTGTGACCGGGGGCGACGAGGATGCTTCTAGTGCTTCTCCGGCTGTTGATATCGACGCCAATGATCCCGCGACCTCTGGCGGCGTGTCGACTGCCGAGGTTGACCCTTTACCTGGTGGAGACGATGCCATGGACGATTCCGGTTTGGCAGATGATGCTGCTATTGCCGTTGTGGCTGAAGACGGGGAGGCTTTGGCTTTGTCCGTTGGCAGCGATGAGGCTTGGGGTGTTCCGACAACGGACGGTGATGCTGGCGCCCCAGCGGCTCAGTCGATTCCCCGCCGGTCTTGGCATCCGTGGCGCCGTCACCGGCCGGCTGACGTCGACGACGACCCCGCGACAAACCTCGCACCGGGCGGGGATGACGCCGATCTTGCTGGTCCGGATCTTCCGGATGATGTGGTGGACGTGGGTGACGGTGACGCTGCTGCGCTCGAACCGGCGGAATCAACCCCGTTAAGTTTGCCTGAGGGTGCGTTGTTGGCCTCCGAGAGCGCTACGAACGACGAAAGCAGTTCTGACGGCACTGATGCTGCCGACGGTGGTGGTGGTGTTAAGGCTGGTGCAAGCGAATTGGATGTAGATGCCGCTGCCGAGTATGTTGATGGCAATGCTGTCCCGCCTCCCGAAACCGGCGATGTGAATGATGGAGATGGTCCGGACGCTGTGGCCGGGGATATCGGGCCCGGCGGCGGCTATGATACCGGTTCGGATGGCTTCGGCGAGAGCTCCAGCGTTGAATTCGCCGCCGCCCATCTCGGGGAAGCAGGTACTATCGACATGGCCGACCCGCAAGAGCAAGTTGGCGCCCTTTCCGAGGAAAGTCATCACATGGAGGAAGATTATGTTGGGCGAGATGAGACTGAGAGCTTTAGGGATGACCAAGACGGGGGGCTGGCGATGATCCCTGACGAGGAGGGTGATGCTGATGTCGACAGTGGGAGCCACGCTGTCCTTGGCGATGACCCCGAGGGCAGGACAGGCGGCGTCGCAAACATAGGGGCTGGGTTGGCCGGGGGCAGCAACGATGTTTCTAGTGTGTCTCCGGCTCTTGAGACCGAGGCTGATGATTCTTCGACCTCGGGTAGCGACGGTGATTCGGCTGTGCCGATCGACGCCGAGGATAGCCCGTTGGTGGATGGGCAAGATGAAGCTGCTGATTCCGGTTTGGCCGGTGGTGCTATAATCGCTGGTGCGGCTGGAGACGGCGAGGCTTCGGCTTTGTCCATTGGCGACGATGAGGTATCGGATGTTTCGTCAACGGACGACGATGCTGGTGTTGATGAGGATGAGACGCGTCCCCGCCGGTCTTGGCTTCCGTGGCGCCGTTACCGGCCGGCTGGTGTCGACGAGGGCCCAGTGACAAACCTCGTACAAGCGGGAGATGACACTGCTCCGACTGGTGCGGATCTTCCGGAGGATGTGGTTGACGTGGGTGATGATCTGACCGCCGCAGCGCACGAGCAGGTGGTGTTGAGTTCATCGGAGAGTGAGTTGTTGGCCTCCGAGAGCAGCACGAACGGCGGTGACGGTGTCTCGACTGGTGAGGCCGGCGACGTCAGCGATGGAGATGATCCGGACGCTGTCACCGGTGACAACGGCCCAAGTTCACATGTGAGCGACGGTGGTGGCGGGGTTGTAAACGGTCTACATGGCTAAGAGGAGAGCACTGTTGCTGAACCCGTCACTCCAATCCACCTGTGTTGCACCCCATGGAGGATAGGGCATCCTGTGTTACTTCATGACGGGAACGACAGCAGAACAGTGTCCGCTCTGTATTGTTTGAATGTGAGGCGTTTTGAGATTGTTGTGGGAGATAAAAGTACTCAACAGCGTGTCCTGTAATGGACTGGATTGCAAAATTCGGAAAGGTTCCAGATCAACGTGAAGGTACCCGTTCTCATGTTTTCATTTTTTTTTTCTCCCCCGCCCCCCCCCCCCCCC